AAAAAACCGGAACGAAATTCGATAAATTTTCTCGCCATTTAAAAAAAAAAATTTTTTTTTACTCATAAGATTTTACGATTTTTCTTTCTTTTCTTAAAGATGTTTACCTTACCATCATTTTGGAAATAATCATTAGTGTATTACTTCATCTTTTTTTCTTCTTTTTAAGATTATTTCCAAATATTTTTTTTTTTTAGTTGGATTTTACAATAAAAAAAACGGCATTTTGTAACGATTCAGAAAACCGGAAAAATCAGTTATCCGGAATAGCGATGGTCCCTATCGTTCTGGATAATCGGTTCCCTACTGTGCATGTTAGCTATTAAATTAATGTGCTATATCTTATGGCAAGCATTGTTGTCGATGTGTAATTTTCTTATCTATGGGCTGGTAATGCAATTATAATTTTTCTGCATTTAATTATGTTTGTCAAGATAGTCTATGTAATTCATTAGTATGAAGCAAATTATAGTGCTTAAATATTGCATGCATTCAAAATTTGTTTACTTTTTCAGAGAAAAGCTTGTGAAACATGGAGTATGTGTAAGGATATTTGGTGACATAAAATTGCTGCCTGTTGAATTACAAAAACTAGTTGCTGAGGCTGTCTTGCTCACTTATGAAAACACAAAGTAAACATGTTTAAATACTAATAGTTTTATAATGCTGGGTAAATACTTTGTAGCTTTTTTTTTTATTTAAAAAGGTTTGAAGGAATCATTTGAATAACAACAGTCACTCGAAATAATAGTTAAGCACCGTGACCCTTTCAAAGGAAATTCTAAACTTCATAACGGCAGCATTCAGATTTTAGGAACATTCCTGCCCTTTACAATGAAAATTTATCTTTAATATAGCCAAATTGAACTTATTGTCAAGCAAAATTCTGGCCTCTTTCCAACTAGTGATCAAAGTTTAACTAAAGTTTTGTGCTAGGTAACACTACTAATTTCAATTGTTTCCAAACAACAATAATCAAAATTCATTGATTTGTTACTGCCTGTCAACTTTTTGACAGTATTGAATTACAAAATTAGTTTCAATATTTTCCTTATCACTATGATCAGATCAGAAATAAGAAACTTTTAAGAACCATTTTACTGTCAAATAAGACCCCAACAATCAAAATTTTGAACACTTTGCATGTGACTGGAGTGTTCAAATTTAAACTGAAAAAAATAGAATTATTTTCTTTTTATTTAGACCACTTAAAATATGTATTTTTTAAAAAAAATTTTTTTACTTCATTATTTTCTTCTCTTCATTTGAATATGAAATCCTGTTTTAGATTTGCTTTCAAACTTTTGTATTTAATTACTAGTATTATCCATTCTATTAAATTTGATTTATTACTTCATGTATGATAATGTACTAATGTGTAGTGAAAAAAGTTAAATTTTTGAATAATAAATTTTTCTTTTAGTCTTTATTTGAATGTGTGTTTAGCGTATACATCCCGTCAAGAAATAACTGCAGCTGTAAAAGATTTAGCTCATGCTGTTGCAAATAATCAACTGGAAGAAAGGTTAATATCTTCATTTTTTTTAAGGGCAAAATTACTTTAATTTTGACTTTTTATAAAAATTTTGAAATTAATTATTTTATGAATTATAATTAATAATTTTAATTATAATTTTATTTTTTATTTTATGCTTTATCTCTTATATTTCTTAAAATGTTAACTAATTATTATGTTAAAAATTATATATGCATATATATTGTACATTTGTCCATTATGTTATTATAATGCATTTAAAAAATTTCTTTGTTATTATAAAATATGTTTGTAAAAAAAGTGATTTTAATAACAAAAAATATGGGAGTTTTTAGAAGTTGTTAACAAAACTTTAATTGTTACATATTATTTAATGTTTGACATATTTTGCCTACATTTAAATTTTATTTTAGTTTTATAAGCCTGTGTATCTAAAGCTAAACTTGTAATGTACTTATGTATTTTTTGCTGCAAGACAATAGTAATATCCTTACCAATTATTTACTTAAGTAATTCTAGTGTCACGCATGTATCTCCTGCTAGTTAATTTTAAGTTGACAAGTTTGACATTATTTTTAAGTCTTTTATTCACCTAACATTCAAATTGTATATAAAACTTGTGTCTATATTTATTTAGTGACTTGACCGAAGATCTGTTGAGCAAAACTTTATATTCTGGTCGCAGTACAAACCCTGATGTTGTAATCAGGACTTCTGGAGAAGTGCGTCTCAGTGATTTTCTCTTGTGGCAAAGTTCTTACTCAGTTATATCATTTCTAAAAGTTTTGTGGCCAGACTTCAGAATTTGGCATCTTTTCTTGGCTGTATTGGCTTATCAATATAATTACAAAAAACTTCATGTAAGTATCTTGTATTCTTGAATGAGTTTTATTTACAGATATTTAATTTTGAACTATGTATTGCAATTTATATTTTAGTTCACTACACCCAATTTTACAGCTCATTTAAAGCTGTTTTATATTTTTCTTGTATTTGTTTACAAACATTAACTTTTAATTGAAGTTACTTAATTAAGGATTCTATACATATTTACTGCATCTTTTGAATACTTTGCATTGATTTAGTAACATGAACATTCTTGTATATTTTATCTTTCCACTCAGTAACTTAGCCATGAAAGTTGATATTAAAATTACAACCGCTATAAAAATTAATTAAATCTCAGATTTTTTTAACGGATAGTTTTTTTAAAGTAAATTAGTTCATGTTATTAGATTTTTAACTAAATCTTCATTACATTTTTTAAGGCACTAGATCAGGGGTTTCTAAATGGTGTTCTGTGAAACCCTTGGGTTCTGTGAGGATTTTTTTTTTTAAACAAGTAATGATTTTTGGAACCTCTAATAGGGCTGAGTCCAACCAATAATCCATTATTTAATTAATATTAGTGTAATTTTTATGAAATTGTTTATGTACAATTGCAATGAGAAATAAATAAAGGAATTTTAAAAAATATTTTTTTCCAATAACAATATATTGAATAAACTTCTCAAATAAATAAATATATACAAATGATTGCATCAGTATTTCTCATCAAACTTTATTATTCAGGATATAGTATTGCAATACTATTTTCTTCCAGTTTTGATATGTCTATAACTTTTTGGAATTTTAAGCATTTTTAGTCTAATTTTCACAACGTTAAAATTATATGATGTGGCAGAAGATATCAATTCAGGGTTGTAAGCATTTTTATGGATTCTGGTTGCCAACTTCTCCATGCAATCACTACAAGATATTAGATTTTTCGCCTTTTCTCCCCACCCTGTTATTCTTATTTATGCANCTCCCCCCCCCCCCCCCAAATACATGGAGTTCCGAATATCTGAACTTGTAACAAAATCTCCAATCGGAGTCATATTTTATAAAAATATCAAAAGTTTTTATCGTGTTCTTTAAAAATTATGATGTTCTTTCAAAAAATGAAAGAAAAAAGATTGTTTTTAGAGCAAAGTATCTTTTAAACTTCTGTGATTTCAGAATTATTATTATTATTTATTTATTTTTATTTTATCAATTTAGAATTCTAGCTGAAGCAAGCCAATCATTGGCAATTTTTTTTTTTATTCCGAAATGAGAGCAGAAAAATAAGGAATATTTCTTTCCTTTCTGATGAACAAGAAAAGTATCTTTAGAATATAATTCTGCTGAAAGAAAGAAGAAAAAATTATTTGCTCAGCTATTTTATTGCTTCAACTCTTTCTTTACTCTGTTGTTTAAATTTAAAATCAATAAATATAAAAATGCAGAGTATAATAGTTTTGGTTATACATATCATTTTAACTAATGTTATAAAGTTTTATATCATTTCGTAAATAACTTAGTTAATATAATATTGATTTTTTTTTTTACCATTTTAGGAAATTGAAAAGAATCAAGATCTAAAAACTAAACAGGTTGAAGGAGAGAAAGAAATGAGAGCCATCATACAGCAATATGAAAAAATACATAATCTATCTGAAGGAAGTTCTAATCATAGCAATATACCAGATTCTGATATTGACGCTTTACACGAGGAAATTAAAATTCGAAAAACAAACTTCTTACTTAATTTAGAAAATGAACACTATAATTCATTAATAGAAATAAAAAAGGGCAATACTAAACAAAGAGTACCAGATTTTTCTTAACCAGAAAAAAGTTATTTTTAATTGATATTGACTAAAGTATATATATATATATTAAAAAATGATTATCAACTAACTATTAAAAACCAATTAATTTATTTTTTAATTTATATTGTTTCACTTCAGATTTCTTCCACTGTTGTTACCTGATTTAGTTGTTATTAATAGCAAAACATTTTCCAATATTTATCTTTATCATTTATATTTTTTTCTAAGTTAACATAGAATGTCATGTCAAACTATTATTTTTTCTTAAAATAATAATAATGTAATTTGTTAATGTAGATTAATTCTTGTATTTTGTATGTTTCTTCAGACAATTTTGTTTGCAAAGTGTAAAAAAATAAGATTATTTTTCCTAAAATTAATTATTGAATGATTATCAAACGTTAAAGTAATTGAATCTTTGATCAGATTATTTTATGAGGCCTTATTTATACGTATTTAAATTAACTTTTACTTAATTAAATTTAATTTCTTTTTTGCAGAGAGGCTAAAGTTACTTATTTTTAAACCTTTTTTTATTAAACGAATCAGTAATTACCTTCAATATTAATAAAATAATGACAAACAAACAAATATTTAATTGAGATACATGTCAGATAAAGGCAAAATTTTAATGCCTCACCAGATGGGTATATCGAAACAAAGTGATCTTTTCTGGAGGTTTCTCTTTATAAGCATCTTTTTAATTACATTTAATAATTTTATTTACATTTAGTAATATTTCTTTTCCCTTTTATTATGCATTGTATAGTCTTTCGTATTTTATGACATGAAACTCCACATTCAATCAGTTTTTATTAAAACGAAAATTTTGTTGTGTTCATTCTGTTACAGGTTTTTATGTGATGGTTTTAATTGATATAATGATTATTATTGTTTTGTTTAATTTCTTGATAGAATAAATATATGTATAGACTTATTCTGTTTAGTAAATTTGTATTAAGAAAATGTGTTTTGCAAATATTGTAAATAATTATTCATACTGTTACAAATAAATTTTTATTCTTGTTATTCATTATTAATTACTTAGCTGTAATTTAAGGAAGACATGGATCCTGATCAGCTTATAAATAGTGTTTTATTTGATTACTTTAAGTATGAAAAATATTAATGACTGCGAAATATTTTTGAAATACACTTTTTAATATAAGCCTATTTAAATGGAGAAAAAAATCATGATTTGGAAATTTACTACAAAGAAAGGAAAAAATAGATAGTGGCTATTTACACTTTATTTTATATGTGTGACAGTGTTAATTATTATCATTTTTTAAAAGCGAAGTAAAATGGTGGGTACCTAAGGTCAAAACACTAATGGTGTAATTCTCTAGAATACATATTTGGGCATAAAATTTCTTCAATTCATCCAAACTGTACTCCCAAATTAGTAATTTGTGTATTTAGAGCCCAATGAGAAGTTTTCAACTTAAAGCAGCCTCCAAACAAATTGAAGTGTTTCAGACTTAAAAATGTTATATTCTTCAAAATATTCGAATTTTTGGCCATTTTCCAGCAATTTTGCAATAATAGCAATTTTGCAATAAAAATTATGTGCGCAAAAGTAAAATTTAAAAAGGGAGGGGGGATTATTGTTTGGTCTATTTTGTTCTGCATGCCTATGAATCATGCCAGAACTGTTTTATATCTTGCGCATTGCCATTCTCTATTTATACTCTCAGATTTTAAATTTCACACAATGTAAACGTGTTAGCATTCTATTTGGCAGAAAGGAAAAATTTTCACTAATTTATTTAGTCCAAAGCAATTTCTGCTTTTTCAATACCTAAATTTGATCCTTAAGTTAATATTGATGAATAATATGCAATCGAATTCTGATTATCAGACGCTCACGGGACCAGGAGTATTTCATTTTCAATGTATACAGTGCGATTAAAAAAAAAACGGACCTCCCTGTATAACTTTTGATTTAATGATCTGATCTTCACATTTTAGGACTCAATCTTAATGGTTTGTGGGTGTGACCTCAAATATACTATTTAATTAGTGCAGACGATATTTTAAGTTACGAAATCAGACACAGAAACGTACTTTCTATGAATAAACATACCTTTTTTTTCTCAACAGTTACGGATTTCTGACTCCCAAAATAAAGAGGGTAGTTGCAATCAGGGAAATATGATACCCATAGTTTGGTCCCCTTAATGTTAGTTTTACTTTTAGCGTATTTCGCCATATATCGAGAAGATTTGAAGCGAATTGAACAATTTTTGCCCACAGTTATAAAATTTGTTTTTACAAAGATAAATCCGTGAAAGAAATAAGTGTTAGTATATGCTTATTATTTTATTAATTAATAGTAGAAAAAAAATTTTGAATTGTAAGATATACAGATTTTTATTCCATTTAAAAGTATGTAATTTTACATGACAAAATATAAAATTTACGCTAAATCGGCTGAATATTTCCTGAGAAATCGGTTTTAAATATTTTGACTTCTTTAAAATTCTATTTCCCAGGAACTATTCAACCGATTTCACCCAAATTATGTATTTTACACTACGTAAAAATACATACTTTAAAATGGTGTAAAAAATTGTATGCCTTACAATTCAGAATTTTTTTTAACTATTATTAAATAAAATAATAAATATTTATTAAAATTTATTTCTGTTATGGAATTATCTTTAAAAAAAAACGAATTTTATAATTGTGTGCAAAAATTTTTCAACTGGCTTAAAAAATCTCGAGATATGGCGATAAACGCAAAAAGTGAAATTAACATTAAGGTGTCCAAACTTTGAACCACTCTCCTGACAAAGTTTTTGGGACCATATTTCGCAGATTGCTGCTACCACCTATATTTTGGGGGTCAGAAATCCAAATCCGTGGGGAAAACATATATGTTTATTCAGACCCAAGTAGCACCGAATATTAGCTAACATCAGAAAATCGGCAAAATCTAACGTTATTTTGCGCAACTTCTAATACTAGAAAGATAAAAGAGGTCACTGTTTGCTTTGCATTATATAATATTAGATTCTATGCAAACTAATATTATCTAGCGTTCGCCATAATATTATTTTGCATTAGTTTTGATGCTATATAATATTACATTTTGTATTTTCAGAAATTATTTTGCTTTGCTTTTTATTTATTTTTTTGGAGTATGCAAGAAGAAGATATAGATGGTAGTAGAGTACCTTTGGTGTCTGATTTCGTGGTGTCCGCTTGTTATTGGTCGCGTTTGCGATGGGAGTATGAAAAAAAAGCGACATTAGTGTATTTAAAATAACAAAGACGTTTAAAGCTAATGTTTTTCAACATTTCACGTCAAAATTCGAATTTGCACAAATTGCATCTCTCATATCGCGGTTTGCTTTCATATGATTTAAGGTTCACTTTGCATTCAAGTGATTTCCGAATCACATGCCTTTAATTGTATTCTCGAGGCTAGAAAATTGCATTAACGGTATTTACGGATCGTATTCCGTATTCATGCGATTTCTGAAGCAGACATCGCAATTGGCATACCTGCATCATTGCATGTAAATCGCACACTCAGTATCGCCGATTCTACTGATTTACTGCAAAAGCACCATGACCAGTGATCTTTCTATCCGTAAACAAAAACCAAAAGCTTCACGAACAGAGTTATGTCTAACAAGGAACGTAGCCTTTTCTTAAAAACGTTCCTATATTCTTTGGAATAGCGGATACTTATAGTTCATTTTCTAAAAGAGAGTAGTCCCGCAGTGGACTGATCGTTAGGACACGGTTCCCAGCAGATCACCGAAGTCAAGTATCACTGGCTGCTGTCAGTGTGGGTGACCACTTGGATCAGTCTGTTTAGGGACCGAGGGTGTGCGGTATCGGTCCTCGTTAAACTGTTCTACCGTAAAGTGCTCGACTTTGCATACAGGTCGTCTTGCTACCGAAGCGTGGATGCCATCTCCTCTGCAGAGGATCAAAATTATGATGACATGTCTTCGGATCATCCTCAGGGATGTTTCCCAGACCGTCGCCAATACTAATAGCCCATTGTGTGACGTAAATGAACTAGAACTAAAAACAACACTGAAGAGATCAAGTCCCCAGTATCTGAATCGGATATATTTGATTGCTGGTTGAAAGTGTTGTGATTCAGGATCCTGCTATTTTTATTTAAGTTTTAAAGTTGTGAAATAAAACTATATAAAATATAGTCGCCCCTATAGTTGCGATATGGAAGCTTCTTTTAATAGGCAGGATCTTCCATGCCGTAAGACTTATTCCTCCTTTTACCGTCACCAAGAGCCTGAGCTGAGAAATGACATCTCCTTCATTGGCATTAGGCAAAATATTGGCCTTTTCATATATTTCAGCTGATGCTTTCGACACAAGAGCTGCAGATGCAGTCATGATGGCCAAAGACAAATAACCGATAATGAAGATACTCACTGTAGACATGCAATATACTATACTATGCACAGGCGAATAAAGAACAGTAGAAACCATGTTATGCAATGTATACGAGACATAAACGATTTCTAAAAGTACCATAAAAGAAAATTTACCGTCAATGGTATCCACAAATGATTTCATGGCATTAAATTCCATCAACAGTTTATTGTAATTAATGGAATGGCCATTATTAAGTGCACTGGTAAAATTTTGAAGTAACACTCTAATTTGGAGGCATATTATAAAGTAAAATAGAGCGAAAGTGCTAAATGGAAGTATCAAGCACGTTACTTCCAAAGTAGAATATACAATTGAGAATGCTGCTTTTATATTTACATTATTGATCCTGAAATCGCATGATGGGAATATATTTGCATTGAACCCATAAAGTAAAGTACCTGCTAATATCGCCATATGCATAATTATAATCATTCCCATCCATAAGTAAATTAATACTCTTGACCATAACTTGACATCGTTGTGCGTGTGAGATTGGGTGAGATAATTAGATAGTTTCTTCATATAAATGTGGTTCGACAACAAAGCGCTGCGGAACAAAACCCATACAGCTACCATTCCCAAACTTCCTATTTTACGTGTCAGAACTTCGCTGCAATATATTGTGGATAAAGTTGTAGTTAAGTAGAAGGCCAGCAAAATAATATGTAACGAATATGTGATATATTTAAGATATGCTGTTTTTATCCTTTTTGAAGATGAAAATATTAAACTAAAATTTAGTGACAAAAATACCAAGCGGAAAATACGTTCTTGAAACGGCTCAGACATTTAAATTCTTTCACAAGTTAATCTTAAAACTAGTCCAACGTGTGCGATTTCAAATCTTAGTTATTCCTCCTTTTGAATGATGTGTAGTGGGATTAATTTGCCGCTATACGATAATCACTACAACTTTAATCGAAATGTACAGAATAAATCAGAGGGAACTAAGCAAAATATTCTTCTCAACTGAGGGTATAAAAATGGCAATTATCAATAATTCTTAATTGTCAGAATAAATCAATATCCAATTTAATCAGTACTTTAATCTCAATTTTCAAGATTGAAATCAGGTTATGTTAAGAATGAGACACTCTTACATTTGCATCGAATTTTTTATTGAAATTTTCTTTAAATTTGCCATTTTCTGAAGAATTTAGTAAACACAATAATCTTAATATATATATATTTTTTTTAAAGAAAGACCATTAAAGAAAGATTATCTATTTATCGTGTTATTGATTTATTGTTGTTATGTCTCTTTATTAAATAGAATTCGCAATTAATGTTACATATTCATGAAATAAAAGTTAAATAGCTCTTTCAATAATGTATTAAAAAGTTTGTTTTTTTTTCCTTCTATGAATATTTTAATTTTGCTAATGCTGTCGTTGTCTAGGAAACTAGTTTTCGTAATTTAAATTATCGGCAAAAATTTTGAGTAAAGAACTTAGTTTTTTTCTTGAATGTTGTATTTTGACAATAATATTTAATTAAATTTGGGTTCCTACTTCATTTTAAATTATTAATAATCATAAAAATCCTTAATAGCTTTGACCATTAAACCAATAAATCAATTTTTAGTAACTGTTTTCTATATTGTAACATCG